AGAGTGAGTTCCAGGACAGCCAGGGCTACACAGAGAAACCCTGTCTCGAAAAACCAAAACCAAACCAAACCAAACCAAACCAAAACAAAACAAAAAAAACCCCACAGGGCTGGAGAGATGGCTCAGCAGTTAAGAGCACTGACTGCTCTACCAAAGGTCCTGAGTTCAATTCCTAGTAACCACATGATGGCTCACAACCATCTGTAATGGAATCCGATGGCCTCTTCTGTTGGGAGCCAACATCTAGCCGAAATCGGCTATGATCTTTACAGCCATCTCGAGCCATATACCCTGACAAGAGACTTGTTTTCAACAGCCTGAAACAGCTGAGCACACTCTGATAAACATCTTGTTTTTCTCACATATCTTGTTTTGCTGTTTAGTGCTGCTCGCAGCTAGGTGCACGTGGTCTCCTCACTGCTAGCTAGGTGCACGTGATATCCACGCTGCAAGCCACATGACGTAGTGCCTTCAGCTGTGCTTGTCCACAAGGGCAAGGCACGTGGTAAAGGGTATAAATACCCAGGTTTCCTTTCAATAAAAGAGACTTGGAGAGACTTGATCAGACTCCCTGTCTTGTCTCCATTCTTCGAGTCTCCGTCCCCACTCTGTCTCTTGCTAGGCCCTGACCCTCGGACTGGAGCAGCAGAACAGGCCGTTACAAAGTGGCCCCCCAAACGCGAGGCAGCTCGGGTGGCTACACTCTTCTAGTACGTATCTGAAGACAGCTGGAGTGTAGTTATATCAATAAAAATAAAATAAATCAAAAAAAAAAAGAAAAAGAAAAAGCAGAAACCTAGCCTATTGTGGTGGCATATGCATTTAAATCCCAGCATTGGGGAGGCAGAAGCAGGCAAATCTTTCTGAGTTTGAGTCCAGACTCATCTACAAGGAGTTTCAGGACAGCTAGGGCTGTTATACAGAGAAATCCTGTCTGGAACAACCTCCTCACCCCTACCCCTCAAATACACAACAAAATAAAATGATTGAAAAATTGGGTCTGGACTTGAGAAATTTTTGTCTGGATTTTTAAATTTTGGTTTATGGGGCATTAAAGATATATACGGATTTTGCAATAAGATCCTTTTTGCTCGGCAGTGGTGGCACACGCCTTTGATCCCAGCACTTGGGAGGCAGAGGCAGGTGGGTTTCTGAGTTCGAGGTCAGCCTGGTCTACAGAGTGAGTTCCAGGACAGCCAGGACTATACAGAGAAACCCTGTCTCGAAAAACGAAACAAACAAAAAACAAAAGATCCTTTTCCATTTCTACACTGTAAGAATTTGCGAATGTCAGCAGAGGTGATGGAGAAGGTGATGAAGTAGTGTATTCACGACAACACATAGAGAAGACCAATGTACAAAGAGTGAGTCGTTTTGACCGGTTTAGCCCTGGTTGGCCGGTACTAATTATGCATAGCTCACACTGGCCTTTAACCTGCTTCAAGCAAGGCATTAGAGCACCTCAACCTGGGGTTAGGGGACTGTACCACGTTTAGGGTATCCGGTAGCAATTTAAAAGCAACGTGGGGGCCCGTGAGTTCTGGAACAACCAGGGCTGCATTGTAAGACCCTGCCTCAGAGAGAGAGAGAGAGAGAGAGAGAGAGAGAGAGAGAGAGAGAGAGAACAAAAATTGACAGAAGTTGGTTTCATACCTTTAATCCCAGGACTAGGAGGCAAATGGGTTTCTGTGAGTTCAAAGTCAGCCTGTTCTGCATAGTATATCAAATTCCAGGGCAGCCAGGGCTACATAGTGAGATCCTATCTCAACAACAACAAACAATCAATAAATACGTAAATAAAGCAACATCTAAGTCATATACAGTCATTAATAGGGATATTTTGTTTTCTTATATTAAAATTTGTAGAATTCACGAGTCCTTATGAGTTTCTGAATTTACAAAGTCCATTTGTCTTTGATGGGAAAGTATTGGTGAGCACAGCTTGTCAACGCACAATTTTTGTTGAACCAGGAACCTCTGTAATTTTTCTCATTAACCAAGATCTTAGGCTGTGGGTGTGACTCAAGTGCCCTCCAAAACTAATAGTCAATCAACTAACTAAATTAATTAGATACAGATTCTCACTATAGTCTTGACTGGCCTCAAAACTCATAGAGCTCCTCTGGCTTCTGTCTCTCAGTGCTTGGATTAAAGGTGAGCACCACCAAGCCCAGCTTAATTTATTTTTAGCAACTGTAGATTTTAAAGAATATATATGATCATTTAAATAGTGAATGAAAGATTAACCTAAAAACAGTATCGCTGAGAACAGAACCTCACGTGAACAGTGAAAAGAGAGCAGATTGAGTCTTGAGCCTTTTTATCTTTCAGCTTTGGTGACCCTTCACTGGTGAGAGTCTTGCAACACACGCGTCAATAGGCTACAGATAATTCTTGTAATTCTTGTTCTTCAACCACCACGCAGGTTGATTTAGACAGATAGTCCAACACTGCCCTCTGGTGGTCAATAGAAACACGCCATCAAGCATTTTTCAGTTTTCAATTAACAAAGGACATTTTTTTTTCCCTCGTTATTTTTTTTTTCCTTTATACACACAGATGTTTCTTACGGGTCTTATTATACTGTGCACTTTCAAATTATGATTTTTGTGCTTGTAGGAATTTTTAATTAATAACCAGCTGCTTTTTAAATTATATAGCTGTGAACTCTGAGAATTTAAATAAGTGACATTAGATTCCTAGTTAGAGAGTGGTAAGTAAGGGACCAGAGGCTGGGAATGCAGAATGTCCGGCCAGTTTCTCTTATGCCAAGCTGAGCTGCCTTCTAAATTCAGCTGCTTGCAGCCCTGCAGGCTAAGTAAGGCTTTCGTCAGCCATAGTCCTGAGTCGTGGACTCTGTTGTACCCAGGAACTCTTATATTCAACTCACTCTTGAGTCATTATCTTGAGTAAACACAGGGCTTTGAACTTTAGGACTCTTATTATTCCAGTTGGTGGTACAAGAACAAGATGTGTATATGGTTAAAACATCATCCAGATCTTTTATTACAAAAGTTTGGCACACAAAAGAAGAACTCTCTGGAAATGCACTCTTTGTCCCTACCTGGCAGCGACTGTAGCCAGCGGGATCTGACGTAACTTGTGGAGTGTGCTTTGTGTGCGGTGTTCAAAGGGCATGGTCTTATTTCCATTAAGGCTTACTGGAATTACTGGAGTCCCAACATCGGGGTCATTGCCTATAGCCTTTGTATCCTTTCTGTTTACACCTTTCTTTCTTTCTTTCTTTCTTTCTTTCTTTCTTTCTTTCTTTCTTTCTCTCTCTCTCTCTCTCTCTCTCTCTCTCTCTCTTTTCTTTCTTTCTTTCTTTTTTTTGGTTTGGTTTTTCAAGACAGGGTTTCTCTGTGTAGCCCTGGCTGTCCTGGAACTCACTCCGTAGACCAGGCTAGCCTCGAACTCTCGAACTCAGAAATCCATCTGCCTTTACCTCCCAAGTGCTGGGATTAAAGGCGTGCGCTACCACCACCCAGCCACACTTTTCTTTTTTCTCTTTTCTTTCTTTCTTTCTTTTTTTTAAAAAAAGGTTTATTTATTTATTTTTGTATATAGCAGCCTCGTGCATGTATGCCTGAACACCAGTAGAGGGCACCAGATCTCATTACAGATGTTTGCTGGGAATTGAACTCAGGACCTCTGCAAGAGCAGCCTGTGCTCTTAATGGAGCCATCTCTCCAGCCCATACACTTTTCTTATTGTGTCCATGAAGCCAGAACATGTAAACACATGAGGTAGTGGCACAGGTAAGCGCAGTGGTTTGTGTCACCTTGAAAACTTTAGCAGGGCTGGAGAGATGGCTCGGTAGTCAAAAGCACATGCAGTTCTTACTGAGGACTCAGGTTTGATTCCCAGTACTTGTATGGTGGCTCGGAACCATCCGTGTATATGGATGCATATGCATAAAATCAGAACACACATACGAGAGAGAGAGAGAGAGAGAGAGAGAGAGAGAGAGAGAGAGAGAGAG